TAAAAGATAGATTCATGTTTTCGCCTTCATTTGATTACCAGAAAAATTTAAATGCACACAGAATTTCTAAAAAAATAAGTAAATTAAATTAAATTTCATAGGGCCCTATTATTGTATACAAATTAATAAATTAAGTTGTTTTAATTAGACATGTTTTTTGTTAAAATTTAATATAATCATCCAGATTTTTTTTTTTTTTACAAAAACATTTTTTTCAACAAAAAAAATGAAAAATTAAAAAAACAACAAAAAAAACTGAATACAAAAATTATGAAAAAATTAAACTTAGGCTAATTTGGGAAAAATAAAACGGATTTCATAGGGCCCTACAGATAGCATGCATCTGAAGCTATAATTTTAATACTAAGCAACAGTGCATATTATATAGGGCCTATTTAATTTTTTTTAAATGGCACTCACTCGTTTTTGTGAAAGACCCAAGAAGGACACTTTCCACACAGGCACACTTCATGTTTGGTTGAAATAATCCTTAAGCATGTAAATGTATAATTTCTTTCAGTTTAATTTAAATGTGCAATTAAAATAAATAAAAATAAATGTATATTTTAAAGTTTAGAATTAGACAGCCTTGCGTTGTGTAGACAATTGCATAGTGAAAATTACCCCAACGCACCACCTAGTGTCCAACCTACTCTAATACTATTATAACCGGTTTAAATGTGAACAAGGGATTTACAACATTAAATAAATCCTTTATTTATAACATGTACATGAAAAATCTAAAAGATTGGACACAGCTATGGGACACGGTCGTGCAGCAGCGAGCAACGGTGAAAGAAACCTCAAGGTTGTAAATGTGTGAAATTGTATAGGGCCCCATTCCTGTATTTTGCCTGGGGCTCCCAAATCACTAAATCCGCCCCTGAATTTACTACATAATATTATTGTGTATAACAATTTCCCCCAAACTTTCTGCAATTTAGCCCACTTTTGGGGATGTACAGTACATAACAGTAAAAAAAACCTATGGCGTATATGACGATGACTAGTATATAATGACTAGTACATAATACAACTAATACAAATAATATTAATAACAGGCTAGTGAAGGAAAAGTAACATGTGACAAGTGACTGTTTAAAAAGCATCCCAGAATGCACCTTTTGAAGCTTCAGAATATATCTTGCTTGTACAGAGCTGTGATCTAGACAAAGGGTGATGAAAATTTCATGAGATTTGAGTTTTGATTTGCTTATCAAGATCCGGGTTGCCCCACTATATAGACAAAGGGAATATATTCATCCTCCACTCTTTTCTGTTCTTTGAAATGCAGATACGAGGCAGAGAATGCATTCTTCTCCAACCTAAACCTGTCTGACTTCAACATCATCGACACTCTTGGCGTTGGAGGATTTGGACGTGTTGAACTGGTAACATCAAACGTCATGTTTTCAGTGCAATATTTGTTTTATGTAAAAGCGTGCATTTTTCTCAAAATTTTGATGTCATCATGGATTTTGGATCATATTGTGTATTTCAATAGTAGTTATATTATAGTCATTTATTCGGATATGATTTTTTGTGTGTGCGTGAGATGATACACAAAAAGTTGAAGTAATAGTTTTATCTCCCCTTGTTTTGTTCTCAGGTGCAGCTCAAGAGTGATGAGATGAAGACATTTGCGATGAAGATCCTAAAGAAGCGCCACATTGTGGACACGAGACAGCAGGAGCACATCCGCTCTGAGAAACTGATCATGCAGGAGGCACATTCCGATTTTATTGTCAGGTACCTCCAGTGACGAGCACCTACTACTACATTACCCTTCAGTGATTGATATCCAGTATTATTTCAGTGTCATTGATATACCGTTATAATTTTTGTTATATTTTGAATTATATTTAATTTTTATATTTTCTGTTTTAATTTTACATGCTAAAGTTTGAGGAATTTTGTTGAGCTTTTATCATTTATATTATTATTTTTATTTTATAAATATGTCTATTTAGTTTTGAAGTTTGTGGTTTTAGTTTATTTTGGTTATTTTAGTACTTCAACTTTAAACGAAAATTTGAAATGTTGCTTTGGACACTAGCTGAAATAAAATAAAAGTTTAAAAAAATGTCAATATTTTATTTTACAAGTAATTACATTTTTATGGTTTAATTTTAATCAATGATAACAACCCTGTCCCTTTGAACCTCTTCTGTCACTTTTGACCGATAAAAAAATGTACCTTTCAAAACAAGAAATGAGTGGAAATAGTTTTTTTTACTTCATCGGAATGGGATGAAACTTGGTGACTTTTGTCACATTAGCTATTTGAACACACAAAAAAAATCATGGACATGATTTGGATATGTTAAAGGCTAGTAAAATAAAAAGTCACACTTGATACCTTCATGGTAAAAAATGACAGACATAGGAAATGAATAGAAAATATGAAAAAAAGAGGGAATATTGCATATTGAATATTGCATAGTATCATAAAATATCCCCAAAATTCTAAAAAATAATTAAAAAATGTTATTGAACAAAAATATATAAGATTGATTTTCCTGAAAAAAAGTTACATTTCAAGGCATCATTCACTTCGTTAATGTACCAAGTGTGATCCACAACTGCAGAGACTTAGAGGGTTTAGTCAAGTGTAATGTCGGTAGTTTTTGCTTTGACATCAGAAATTTGACAACATGTGAAACTACTTCAAATCTTGAATTTGTAGAATGGGATTCTGACTGTGTTCCTCTTGTTTTTTAGACTCTATAGGACGTTTAAGGACAGTAAATACCTCTATATGCTGATGGAAGCGTGTTTAGGTGGAGAACTGTGGACTATTCTCAGAGACAGGTAAGACCTGTCAATTCACTCTTGATCAATGTTTTTTTTCGTACAGTTGCTGTCTGAGTTTCAACAACACAATAGTCCTGTTTCTTTCCTAATCACAGGGGCAACTTTGACGATTCAACTACACGCTTTTACACGGCATGTGTGGTGGAGGCATTCGCTTACCTGCATTCCAAAGGCATCATATACAGAGACCTCAAACCAGAGAACCTGATACTAGACCACAGAGGCTACGCCAAACTGGTGAGGACAGGACGCTATCAAATATGGACACCCACTACTCGCCCTCTAGTAGTTTCATGAGGATAAAAAGACAATAATAACCTGCAGTCACCAACAACATTGTGCTGCTTTATTGTTCAGTACCTCAAGACTGGAGACTGAAGCTACACTTAAAGGGGTCATATGATGCGATTTCAAGTTTTCCTTTCTCTTTGAAGTGTTACAAGCTCTTGGTGCATAAAGAAGATCTGTAAAGTTGCAAGGAGTCAACCACGCCTACCTAAAATGGCTCATTCTAACACGCCCCCACATGTCTACGTCACTATGTGGAAATATTAGCATAATGCCGCTCAAATGTGCACGCAAAGAAAGAAGGCGTGGTTTCAGGAACAGCAGTAGTGTTGATGCAGCCATGTCAGGGAGATGCTGTGTTTCAGTGCGAAAGCAAAAGCACTTTATTTGGCCTTCCGAAAGTAGATGCAATTAGGAATCATTGGTTAAGATTTATTTACAACAGAACAGCACAACCCAGATGTTCGAATTTGTGCAACGCATTGTATGGATGACAGTTTTTTTTAACCTAGAAGAGTACAGGCTGGCTGTGCACAAAGGCTATTTCAAAAAAAAAAAA